ACTCAAACTTTCCTAATCTGAATTCACTGTGGCTCTCACAAGCTGCTTCCTCTGATGACACGATTTTCTGGCCTATTCTTGTCAACTTCAACCTGGGTGCTTCAACTCGAACAGCAAACACCAGATTCTGCCCACTTTGCAATCTAAGAGTTTCTTTTTTTTTTTTAAAGAGAAAAACCATTTTTTGTTTAATAAATTATACAGAAATGGGTTTATTATTTTGTGACAAAAATGCAAAGTATGATTAATTATTAATCTCTTTCAATTTATTCAAATTTTTTAAATTTTATTTTTTTAATTTACATCCAAATTAGCATATAGTGCAACAATGATTTCAGGAGTAGATTCCTTAGTGCCCCTTACCCATTTAGTCCACCCCCTCCCACACCCCCTCTAGCAACCCTCTGTTGTTCTCCATGTTTATGAGTCTCTTATGCTTTGCTCCCCTCCCTATTTTTATATTATTTTTGTTTCCCTTCCCTTATGTTCATCTGTTTTGTCTCCTAAAGTCCTCATATGAGTGAAGTCATATGATATTTGTCTTTCTCTGACTGACTAATTTCACTTAGCATCATACCCTCCAGTTCCATCCACATAGTTGCAATGGCAAGATCTCATTCTTTTTGATTACCAAGTAATACTCCATTGTATATAAATACCACATCTTTTTTGTCCATTCATCCATCGACGGACATTTGGGCTCTTTCCATACTTTGGCTATTGTTGAGAGTGCTGCTATGAGCATAGGGGTGCATGTGTGCCTTCAAAACAGTACCCCTGTATCCCTTGGATAAATACCTAGGAGTGCAATTGCTGGGTCATAGGGTAGTTCTATTTCTAGTTTTTTGAGGAACCTCCATACTGCTTTCCAGAGTGGCTGCACAAGCTTGCATTCCCATCAATCTAAGAGTTTCTTGACTCCGTCCCCTTTATTCATCTCTTATCACTCCCTTGGGATGATGAGTGTCCCAGTTGGTCTCCTGAACCTTAGAGTGTAGCCCATTCTCCTCCGTGCAGCTGGAGGGATTATGTCATTCCTTGCTCCCCCAGTGCCCACATACTTACAAGCTCTCCGTGGCATCCCACTGCTCATGGCATCAAGGCCAGAGTTTATCAACTTTACTTACAAGGTTGTACAAGGGCTTGTTCCTATGGTCTCTCTGATCTCATCATAGATACCTCTCTTCACTCACGGCCTCTGAGCCATGCTGCATGCCATGCTTCTTCCAACCAAAGAGGCTTAATCCAACCTTTGCCTTTGTCTGATATGGCCACCCCTAAATAACACTTATTCATCCTGTGACTCTGAACCCAAACACCACTTTCTCTGGGATGCTACTTTCCCTGACTGAATCAAATGCAGCCACCATGGGATTTCGGGGCACCATGAATGTCTCCTTCCTAACTCTTGCACTTGTCTTATACTTTTGTGCCTGGTTTTGTAATTATTGCTTGATATATATCTCCTACTAGACCCTAATCTCCGTGTGGTCAGGAACAAAGTCTGAATTTACTCTTCCACTTATCCCAGTGGCTACCCCAGCACTGCATGTCCTGTAAGTGGTACGTGAAAGTGCAAATAGTCATTGAGTGAATAAAATTGTGTCCCTTTGTAGAATTGTTCCCCTTAAATGTCTCCTGAATACATTCTACCTGAAAGATACACCAGATCTTATCTGGGCTTGCCCTTAAATGATTCCCCATTGGCAGCAGGATACAGTTAAGCCTCATGCCATACAAGCCCTGTCATGATCTTGACCATTCTCTGGGCTCATCTCTCGGCCTCACTGTTGGGAACTTTATGCTGTTGCAACCCAGGCCTCCTTCCTGTTTTTAGCACACATCATCCTATGTCATACCTTTGTTCCTTGTGCAGACTTCACTCAGATTCACTGACTGTTAACATTTCGCACATTTGCTTTCTCTCTCTGTCTATATGTGTATGTGTGAGGATATGTGTACTTGGGGGAGGATTTGAAAGTAAGTTGAAGCCATCGTGACACTTCGCTGCCGAGTGTTTCAGCGACTGGCATCTAAGAATAAGGTCATTCTCCTCTATAACCACAACATAATTATCACACTTTGGAAATTTAGCATTAACAGAATACCATCATGCAGATTAAATTCATATTTTCCCGATTATCTGAGTAATGAAATTATAGCTCCTTGTTTTATTTTGTTTTGTTTTCCCTCACCCAGTTTTGCTCCTCCCCCATCCCCTGTTCTAGGTCTGGTTTGCTGCCTCTACTTCCTCATTTCCACTCTGATTTCAGAAAGGGCAGAAGTTTCAAGCTGTACATCAAAACCTGTTTCTTCTATCTGAGCACAGAGCTTGTCCTCATTCCGGGCTCCCTTTGAAGTTGGGTGTGTGCCTGTGTGGCCAAGTTCTGATGGGTACAACCTTCAAGGTCAAGGTTTTTAAGAAGTAGAGAGATCTCATCTGCATTCTCTCCTTTTACCAGCTGAATGTGGAAAATGAAGATAAGGCTCTAGGGAACAGTGGAGACACAAGATAGAAGGAGCCCTGGGTCTTCAAATCACTGGACAGAGGAAAGTGTCACGCCAACCAGGGACACATGCCTTGGGTTGTTAGATGGGTAGAAATAAGTTTCTATTATGTTTGAGCCCTTATACAGCTGTGGATCTACTTGTTACAGCAGCCAGTATCACCAAATGAAGTTAAAGGTCCTTCCGTGGAAAGGGAGTGGATGGATCTTCTCACCCAGAACCTCTTACCTCAGGGGAGAAAGAACAGTGCAGAGGAGGCTCGGATGTCGCAGGCCAGGAAACAGGTAGTCCCAGGAGCTAAAGCCCTGGGACAGAGAAGGAGCACCAATAGGTACAGGAGCTCAGCCCACAGGAACTCCAATCCCGGGTCTCTGTCTTCCAACTTCTATGCATGCTTGTGTCTAACTATGCCTTTGTGCAATGAGGAGTCCATTTCTTAAGTTGTACCAGAGAAATTAGTCAACACAGAGGCTTTTTTCTAAATGCAGAAAACTAACAAAATAGAGAAAATCCATAAAAGTTTGCTTTGACAATATGAAGATAATATGAACAAAGAATTACAGCCATTATGTGAACTTCTCATTTTGTCTAGTTACTATGCAGCACAATAAGAAGACTTACCATCAAATATGTCAGATTTGCTTTGTTGTCAGTTTATTTGATCACGACACCAAACTTTCATCTTGAATGTACAGCCTGCATTGTTCATGCTGCAGCTCACAGCTTAACAAACTAGAGTCAAACTCACTATCCTCTATCATAAACAGCTTTATGGCTGAGTAAAATTTGAGAACATTTCATCAGTATTTACGTTTTATGGGTTTTGTCAACTTGCTTTAATTTTCGACCGTGTGGACTGAATTAGAAAGATGCTAAGCAGTGAGACTGTTGCTGAGCCAGAGATCTGAGGCTTTCGAGGGATCCTTTGGTCTTAGCAAAGCCTGGCTGCTTCATGCCACACTCCTGGTCGGTCAGACCAGGCTGAGGTTTGCCCATCAGTCTGACTTTGTTTCCAAGACCTCCGCATCTCCTTACATTAAATTAATTGTATATATTACTTGCAATATTGTATATATTAAGTGCATAATAATATACCAATGTTATTAAAGTGTTCTGGCAAAACTATGTGAGCAGAGGAAAATATCACAGTCCAATACCAGATGATGCTAACAAAATAATAATAGCAGCATCCAACACTTACTGAGCAGATACTATGTGTCAGGTACTGCCCTAACTGTTTTCCAACTTAATGAATGTTTACAGTAATCCCAGGAGGGAGGAAGAGTGGCTCATTACTTCTTCACATAAATTTTGAGACAATACAGAACTTCCCAAAGTCACAAAGCCTGGCTAGCTGGGGCTAACCCATAGATGAGGTAAGTAACCTCACTCGCTCCTTCCAACTTCTCTTTTACTACACTTTCTCCTTTACTTCAACAATGATATATTCAACAAATGTATATTGTATTCAACATGTATATATAAGATAAATATAACACACACACATACATAAAACAAATATATGTACATATATATTGCTGGGTGCTGAGGACAACCTTGTTCTCAACAAGCTTATGATTTCCTTGGGGAAGGCTGAAGGGTGAACAATTACAATACACTGGAAAAGTGCTGTGATGATAGGAGTGTGGGCCTCTGTTGGAAGGAACCTCTAACCCAAATTTAGGGGCAAATGGGGAAGGCTTCCTGGAGAAAGAGGAATCTATGCTGAGACCTATAGGACAGGAGGGAACAAAACAGGAGAAGAAAGAAGGCAAGAAAAGAGAGTTCTAGGCTGTGGAAGCAGCACCACACTAGCGGTCTGTACCAGGAGAGACAGTTACATACGGCCCATGGACACTACAGTGGCTTCACCAGATGAAGCGCTAAACAGCCCTTTGCAGAAAGTTTTCTCCTGTCTACTACAGGGCCTGATTTTCTCGACATTGATCCATTGACAAATGTTTCTATCAATAAACCAATCAGATTTATTATTTACTACACAGAAGGCACCGGGTGAGGCCTAGAGGAGAATTCCAAGAGCTCTGAAACTCTGCTTCTATTTTCAAAGAGTTTACTGAGTGTGGGTCTGGAACATTCTCAGAGGAAAAAAAAAAGAGAGAGAGGGAGAGAGAGAGAAATTTAATAGTAATCCAGACATTAAAGGAGGAGGAAGAATGTTAGGAGGCTGAAACACTCAGCCTGGCTTTAGACCCTCACTCAGCCACACCCTCACTATGCAAGCATGCTTGAGCTACTCAACCTTTCTGAACTCCGGCTCCCCATTCATTGAGTGGGAAAAATAAAAGGTCCCTTTCAGGAAGATGGCAGGGATTAAATAGGGACCGCCTGCACAGCACCTAGCATGCTGCCCAGCACAGAGCAAGCTCTTGATAAATGTCTTAACCATCATCATATTATTATAATTTCAATTAATTCGCCCCATAAATACTTGGGTGCCTCCTCCGTGGTGCCTCTTGTACTTTTTATTTCAGGACTCCTGGGTTCATGACACACCAACCATCACCCCAGCACCCGACTCCTCTTCTTCCATTGGACTCTGCCCTGAAGCCTGCAGCAGATAGCCAAAGAAACACAACTCATGAGCCCTGAGGAAGCTGGTTCGCCTGTCTAGAAGCCATCCTCAAAGTCTCCTGGGCACTTCCCCAAGTCTCCCCGGCCTGTTTGTCTCTGCACACACAGATTGCTTTCTCCTGACCGCTTGCAGCCCTGTCTTTACTTGGCGATTAATTGTACATCATCCCTGACATCTTTTACCGTGTTCTGCTATATTTTTATTTATTATTGATTCTACACATGCCTAACATTTGCTAAGTCCAAACCATGTGCTGACAGCACTTAGCAATGGTCTTGCTGAAGGGATAAAAGACTATTAAATTGGGTTGAAACATCTAGTTTTAAACCGTTAGAGAGTGCATGCTCAAACAGAATCAGGAACCAAAGGCATATTTGTTTAAAAGAAAAAAACAAAAAACCAAAAATGCTAGCATCTAGTCAATTACCCAGTAAAAAACAAGACTTATGTGAGAGTTTTAAAATAACAACACTGAAAGCAACTCTTATTTATTTGTTTGTATGTTTAATTCATGGATGATGGTGAGGAGGTCTCCTGTGTTTTTAACCCCGGTGCCTGGGGCAACCGGAGCACCGTTCGGAGAGGCTGGAAGATGACGGGAGAGCAAGTATGATGGTGATGGTGAGACACAGTAAGTTTAAGTTGCAGACAAGTTAATTTCAAAACCATAGTAGGCCACACAAGTGAAAATGTCCAATCAAGCAGCTGGCAGTCTGGGAATGGAGTTGAGGAGAGAGGACAGGGCAGAAGTGGATAGAGGCATCCTTCCCAGAAGAGATAGCCACACTTTGAGCAGAAGTCTTTTGGTGCCAGACATCCAAGGAAGGGGCACACATTTACCAGGGTGAGTAACACATCGCCAGGCCTCCTTGGACTTCTTTGCCCAAATTGGAGAAAACTGACCGAGACCCAAGAGGTCTGGGGTAAAGCCCCGGAGGCTTACCTTTGAATTTTCCTGTTCTATCTTAAAACATCCTGTGAATTTTCCATTCCACTCCACAATACACAAATAATATTTTAAATTACTTTTGAGTAAAGCTGACTGTGATGGATGACAGGTGGCATTTAGCCTGTGGCTTCACATAGGACAAATTATCCCAGGCATAAGAGGGAGTTCACACTTCAGCTTGAAAAGCAAGGCATTCAGCAAGGAGCCAAGTGTTTGTTTTTGCTTTTGTGTTTTTCCCCCTCTTTGGCAGGGATCAGATCATGAGATTGGCTAGCCAATTAGCAGGGCAAGCATGGGAGTCAGTGGAACCCTAGACAGGGAAGTTTTGATGAGGGTGAGGCCATCAGGAAAGGTCTGGTTGCTGAAAGGGTGTGTAGGTGAGGGGATTGCCTGAGTTGCATCACGTTTGGGGGCCTTACTGGACAGAGTGAGGGATGCCAGAAGGGAGAATGAAGTGCTGGGATCCTGGGTCTTGGCACTGTTATTGACCCTAAGTGGAAGGGGAGGGAGAATGACCGGGCTAGGCCTTCAGGGCGCTGTTTGCTTTGGGGCTATGTGAACCAAGGACTCTAGAAGGTTCTCTGCAGGGCCACTAACGGGCTGAGATTTCTCTCCAGACTGGAAACAGATGGCTGGAGCTTCCGTCCCACGGCATATTTCACGAACAGATTGGGTGCGATCTTCCCTGAGATGGGGGTGTTTCAAAAGCAGAGGAGGAAGGGGAAGCTGGAAGTGGGGGAAGGCAGCCTTCAGCTTCAGTGTGGCTTCAGGACAGTTCTTGCAGATGTGGGCAGAGCGACAACTGCCGGTTCTCTGAGCCTCTGGAGATTTAGCAAACCTGGGGACGAAGGTGGGGGCAATGCAGATTATACAAGAGGATCCCGAGGGCCTTCTGGACACAGAGCCTCGCTCAGGATGGGTTTACTGTGCGTGTGAAAGGCACATCTTTCTTTCCTTACACCAAATTAAACCAATTTGATCAAAATTTGTAATGCAGAAGAGCATAATTAAATTGAAGATTTTAATTAGGCACAGTTTTGATGAAACTTAACGGAGCCGGCAGGAATACTCTTGCTGTCTATTAGACATAATCCTGCCTGGTGAAGAGCTCTTTAGTTGACTGTCTTTAATGACTGCCCAGCACTCAGTCTCCTCACTGGTGCTCCAGCCAGCCTAGAAGCAGAGAGGTGAGAGGGGCCTGGGGAGAGGAAGGAGTGGGGTGTACATCCACAGGGTGGCAGCTCTCCTCAAAGGAATGGTGCTGCTAAACTTTGGGGGTACCCAATTATCCCCTTTTCATCTGTCACAGTGGAGAAATCGTGCAGAATTATGTTGAGGGCAGTTTCACAGTAATGAGTCAGGAAGGAGAGGGCAGGGCTCCCCACAGCCTGAGAGGAACCTCTGCTGGCCTTCTTTGCTAATTGCTGGCACCTCTCAATGACACTTCACAAAGCTAGAATCTTCCACCAGCCTCGGGCAGAAAAGCCCTTAAAGAAGGCCTCCCCGGGGTAGAGATCTGGGAAGAGCCCTCAGCCTGCCTGCCCAGACTTTCATAAACACTGCATCGCTGAAGGAAGGAAGGAATGAACAAAGCAATTAATGAATAAGTGATTCACCCTGGAACTCTGCTGACAAAGAGAAGGAATTAAAAAGTATGGGCTGGTCATGGCTGCTGCCTTTTTACAAACAGTGGCTGGGCTTCAGAGAGAAACACTCCCTTTCTTTCCTCATCTCTCCCTTCTTTCCTTTATCCAGCCAATTTTCTGGAGGGCTCCTTGCAGCAAGCATGCTCCCAGGCACTGTATATTTTATGGCAAGTATGTAAGGGTCCGTGTTCCCTGCCCTTCTGGAGCTACCAGACTACTGGGAGAGAGAGACAGTAGGTATATAATTAGGAATTAGGAGAAACTCTGAGAAGGAATAACAGAGAAGTCTTACTTTGGACGAGGCCAAGGATCAGCAAACCCCAGCTGAGGGGCCAAATTTGACTGATGCTTATTGTCATGAATAGAGTTTTATTGGAACGCAGCCACACCTATTCATTTGCATTTTGTCTGCCGATGCTTTTGCTTCAAAAGCAGAGCTGAGTAGTTGTGACAGAGACCTTATGTCCTGCACAACCTAAAATGTGTATCATCTGGCATCTTAGGGAAAATGTGTGCCAACTCTGGTTTAGATGGCCAGGGCAGGCCTCTCGAGAAGATGAGATTTAGCTCAGACCTGGAGAAGTTAGCAGGGTAAGGAGTTCCATACAGGAGGAAGATCAGCAGGGGTGGTCCCACAGTAGAGAGGAGTTGGGTGTGTTCAAGGACCTGGAGGAAGGTCTGTTTGTTTGACTATAGTGGTGATGGAAACACAGGGCCTGGATGAGTTGCAAGTGGAGAGAGGGCCCTTTCACTCTGAACCTTACCATTCAGACCCTGAAAAGGGATTTGAATGTGGATCTAAGTGCCCCAGAAAGCCCTCAGAGGGTTTTAAGCAAGGGTGTGATGTACTTTTTTTTTTTTTTTAATGTTTATTTATTTTTGAGACAGAGAGAGACAGAGCATGAATGGGGGAGGGTCAGAGAGAGAGGGAGACACAGAATCCGAAGCAGGCTCCAGGCTCTAAGCTGTCAACACAGAGCCCGACGCGGGGCTCGCACTCACGGACAGCGAGATCATGACTTGAGCTGAAGTCGGACGCTCAACCGACTGAGCCACCCAGGCGCCCCGATGTGATGTACTTTTTAAAGAAACTTCTGGCCCCGCTGATCAGAGGGGCTTGAAGAGGAAACCATCCCTGTCTTGATTCGATAAAGCAAGAGACTGTGGCAGCTTGGATCAAGGTCACATAAGTGGAGGTGGGGAGTCATGGGCAGATTTGGAATACATTTGGGAGGTAAAATTGACACAGTTTAGAAATAAATTAAGTGGCAGAGGAGACAGAGGAGAAAGGTCAAGAATGATCCCACCCAGCATTTTGGCTAGAGGGACTAGGGAAAGGATGATACCATTTGCTGAGGTTGGGAGAGGAGAAGCCTGGGTGGAATGATTTAAGAGGTCAGCACTTTTTATCCTCCTTAAAATTGATATTTTTGTGAGACTCCAAGTGGAGATGACAGGGACACCATTGGATAAATGACCCTGAAGTGCAGACGAGAGGCCCGGGCTGAAGATAAAAATTTGTGAGTCATCGGCATATAGATGGTATTCAAGCAACGGGACTGGATGAGCTCACCTAGGGTGGGAGGTAAAGAGAGAAGGAAAGGGGGCCCATGGCTGATGATTTTATGCAGGCTACTTAACTTCAGTTTGGCCTGTTACTCATTGGTATTTATCAAAGCACTAGGCTGAGGGTAAATTACTGAAGAGACTTAATTAAGGAATATGCTTAAAGAAATGCCATGAATTATTCTTAAGCATATGCAGCTACTCTCAGATGATCTCCCCCGCAAAGGGGAAGCAAATGAAGAGCCTTATATCTCTTCATGAAAACAAAATACAAGTGGCATATGCATTGTTTGAATGGTTTCCTTTTCTGAGCATTTATACATCCTTCTCCAAGTTGACTGATAGTTGAGTTGTTTAAAGTGGTGGTTCTTGACCACAGCTTCCTAGCAGAGTTATCTGACCAGCTGGTTAAAACTATGGATTCCCTCGGTTCCCACCCAGAGTGATTTCGTAGGTCTGGGGTAAAGTTCTAAGAATCTTTATTTTAATGAGGATTTTAGGAGATTCTGATATGGGAAGCCAATGATTTGGCATATGGTAACCATACTTTTCTCTGGTATTTCAAAGGCAAACTTGAGATTGCCCCACTCAAACAACCATATATTCTGAATTGACAATGATCTGAATTTGTGAGCTAGGGGTAAGATATAAATATTGTACTTATGGGGCACCTAGGTGATGCATTCGGTTGAGTGTGTGAGTCTTGATTTCAGTTCAGGTCATGATCTCACCGTTGTGAGATCGAACCCCGTGTTGGGTTCTGTGCTGACAGCCCAGAGCCTGCTTGGGATATTCTCTCTCTCTCTCTCTCTCTCTCTCTCTCTCCCCCCCCCCCCTGCCCACCCCCGCTTGCACTTTATCTCTCTCTCTCCCTCTAAATAAATAAATAAAAACATGTAAACATTGTGTGTATGCATACAATGGAATCATGAGTTATCATGTCCCTGCTTGCTTCCTCTTTCTCAACACGTCACTGAGGCCTCAAAATCTTAGTTCATAAAAATACTTCAGCCAACACACACATATATACAACATTCACACATACACATACAATGTCTTTCTTTCTCTTTCCTTCTATTTCCTTCTTGTGCATATGCACATCCATCTGGGTGTGCAGGTGTGTGCACACACATGCCCTCTATGAATCTTTGCCA